GATAAAGTTTCGCGCGCTGATACATTATTTATCGGCTTTGCAAATTCGAACGCGCCCGCCGCGGATGTAACGACAGGAAATTGCCGGCGAGAGGAAACAGATTTCGACGTCGAGCAGCATTAGGGTCGGCCGCGCCTGGATTTACCCACGTCAAAATCATTTTCGCCGTTCGCTCGATTCGGCCGCGCCGTTCCGCGCGTCCCCCGCCGATATTTATTCGAGGATCTTCGATTAATCACGCCGGACGATTTCGAGCGGTCGAAGAAACGTCCAACTGTCCGACAAAATCCGGGGCTCGAAATCATCGGCACGGATTACAATGATAACGTCACGATCGGTTGTTCGTTCCGATTATCAAATCAGCGCGCTTGCTCCGTCCGCCCGAGGATTCTTAATTAATTACCGAGCGACCGATCGGCGCAGAAACAGGAAAATATCGAGAGTAAATTATAAATTAACAAGGACCCCGCGGCGGTCCAGTTTCGTAGGATTCGCCTAATTATGAATCGCATCGATGTGTGTTTTCATCGGCCTCGTACGGCCGGGGCTGAAGAACGCCAGGTAGCTGCTCGCACATTAATTAATCGAATTAAATTCGTCGGGAGGTCAAGTTAATTTGCGCGCCGGCCCCCTTTGTGGCGTTTCCTTTTTTCGTCGCGTTTCTAATTAATGCGTTGCGTTAATTCGGACGCGGCTGGTCGGCGGAACGACGACGGTTAACGAAGATCGTTAACGGCCGCGCTGGAAACGAGCGGCTGCCCGCGAGCGGTTCGCTTCGCGACAATATCGGGTTCCGCGGCGTTTTCTGGCAAGATAATGCCAATTGTTTCGGAAGAGTAAAAACACAAATTTATCTTAGACCGTGGTTGTATCTTTGCTTTGATATTAGTGAAGAGACGACTGAATCATAACTTTGATAGAAGCTATTCAAGATAGTTTTCTTCGCTGCGTTTGTAGTGGACGTGCGATATTCTTATGGTTCCAGTTCGCTTATAGTAGCTCCAATGAACACCGCGCCAATGCATTTCTCCACATCCATTACGAAAGAGATCGAACCAAAGAAACAGAACAATATCGACACTTGGATCGATGATCGTTGCTTTACCAGCTATTCAACATAAATATTTCCATAGTAAAACGATGCAATATATTTCTGCACTTCCTATACAGCGTCGCAACTGCAATATAACCGCAACCTTAACTGTCTTTTCGTCAAACGAAAGAAATTTGCGTCCATACTCTTTCGAACTTTTGCCGCAAACCGTTCGCGCGTATTTGGTTTAAACGTCGGCTCGCAATGGCGACCGTTGCGCTCGCCTAACTGTAATATCCGTTGCACCACATACCGCCGTTCGCGCTCGCAGGGAAGAAAGGAGTCGTGCGATCGTCTCGGATTGAATTACTTAAATAATGGCGATCTATCCTTCATTAAATTAGCCCCCGTCGCTAATTTATTATCGGTGTAATCGGAGAACGCGGTTCTCGCTCTAGAGCTGGACGCGATTAACGGACAAGTACGTCCGGTAGATCCCTTGCTTATGCATATGAGGGGTACCGGGTGTGTGGAAATCGTCCTCTCGATCGTTCCGCGTCCCGCGGGCCCATAAAATCGCGCGAGGAATGTGGAGTGCCGAGGCCACGGAAGCGTGGCAAAAACGGACCGAGTTTTCTGACGGAGGGGTCTCAGGTGAATTAGACAATACCCTGCGACCGGTGTGCGCGCTAGGTGTTCGTGGGAGTGGATTAGCCGCGATATCTTCGGCGGGCTTTAAGCTTCGGGCGTTATCCTTGGAGATTGTTATCTTCGGTTGTACACGCTCGATACGATTCCAGCGTACCTCGATAAAACATTGGTTGTCCGTTGGAGAGACTGATAGAAATATTGATGACGCTTTTTATTTTGTGGTGGATGCTTTCAATTATTTAGGGGAAAACACACAGAACAAGAGTTGTTGGAATAAATTCTTGGCGTTCCGGTGTTCAATTTTGTATTTGAAGTTCGGCGGTGTGTCAGGTAATTCCAGCTTCGAGCCGATAAAAATAATATATATATTTAAATGCATGAAATATGGTTATAGCAACGGAGAAATTTTATTATTTACCGAAAGCTGGATCTCGTACCCGTGGGGATTAAAATTTCAAATGAATGTGTATGTTCTGGGAGGAAGTTTTAAAGTATGGAAGGAAGTATCGCCTACTTCCAAGAAGAAAAATATTAAAAGAAGGGGCAACGAAGTTTTAACGTTAAGATCTCGGACGAGTATTCCGTTCGTTATCGTAAAGATTGCAGAGGTCTCGATTATTACAGGGATGAGATAGAAATACTTTTGGATAATGTATTTCACCGGCGGGCGATAACGTCCGCGAAAAATGTAAAAGATCGACGGTAGAGGTGGTTTCGCGACGCCGTGTATAATGGCGCACGGGGATACGGATAAAGGACGAGCCGGCACCGGGCCGAGAGCAATAGACTATGAAAATGTTGGGAGGTCGAACGATAAACGTCAACGAGATGGTTGTACAGTACGGTAATTGTACGATAACTTTTACGATGGGCTTGCACCATTCGTGCAAGCACGCTTCCACGTGAGAAACCGCGATTCGAGTCCCGGGTATCGTCTTACGCGGATACGTTTAATTAAGCCGTGCGCTGTGGTCCGGGCAGCCCGTCGCCATGACGTCTCGCGGCGGTGATAGACTTTTTCGCCGAGGATTTCGAAGACTTCGAACGAAGTTTCCGAGTGAAATTCGGTTGATCGATCTAATGAAAGTTACGCCTCTAGAAAATTAAGCGACACGTGTATATTGGTAATATTCGAAAGCATCGTTTCTTATGAATCTACCGAAAACGAACTCTTTGTAAAATACTTCGAAGATTCTAATGAGAAATTTGTGAAATTGGTTCGAGTACCTAGGAGATACTTACGATTCTATGCGTCGAGATTAATCGATCGGGTAATTTGTAGCAGGTGTTGGAAAAAGTATTCCGCCGTTCAGGGAACAACAACGACGCGTATAGGAAAGAAGATAGAAAAGTTCGGGCGATAAGAAGCAGCAAAAGTGCTCGATCAAACGGGGATAATTAAAGAGCCGGAATCATCCGTCAAAGAAGCGTCGACTAATCGCTCACGGCCGATCTGAAAGCGGCTGCTATTCGATTATGATTAAGCTAATTCGAGTTTGATCCGCGTCACGTGGAAATAATGGAGGTCTCGGTAATTACATATAAATCAAATTATACTTCGAGCCGACAGCTCCATTTGATAACTGGTGGCGTGCCATGTCAAGTGATCGAGTCAATTAGGCCACCGCCTATGCACACTGAAAATTTTATCGCGATCGCCGCCATTAAAACGCAATGCCGCGGAAAATAAATTTCTCACCCGCGCGTTACGCAATTATCATCCAGATGCATTAAAGATTGAATCCTTTTAAATATTATCCATCAGTATCAATTTTCCTCGAGCATATTTTAAAACTCTTCGATCCACTCTTCAACTGACTTCTCGAGAATTCACGTTTCACTTTCGCAGCAAGAAGAAACAACGTTCACTTCGTACCCACCATTGAGAGTCGCCGAGAGAAAATAATTCTACAGGTTCTATCTCACGCAGTAAATTCCATAGAAATCAACAAATACACGCATACCATCCCCATATAACCCACAAAATCATCAAACCAACACAAGGTCCAATTCCCTCGGACATCCTCCCCCTACAGTTAATCTCAACAAACGAAAACCACTTACAACCCGTCAATTAGCATGCACTACCGGAGGAGGAAACGCAAAGGAAACTTAAAGGAGCCATCGATCTGATACTTAGAATGATCGACGTATCGCAGGGATCGTAGCTCGAAAGGAGCGCGTCTTCCCGTGTCCTTACGCCGGGTTACACGTAAAAGGCGGTTATATCGGACGGTTCCCTTATCGCGGCCGGATCTGGGACGAGTTTGGAAAGAGATCCCGGCAGAAATCGTTGTCCGCCGGAGGCGAATATCCCGGCCAAAAGTTGCCGGTGGTTCAGCTACTTCCTGACTGGCGCGTCTAATTGCAGACGGCGTTGAACCGCGCGGGAAACGGTGCCGCACCGTTGCGGCGCAGGCTCGCGGTGTCCGTTGGGTCTAGCTTAGTCCGGTGCCAGCCCGCCCGCGGGCACTCGGGGATCTGCATTTAAAGACGATAAATTAGATCCATAGGCGGCGTGCCACGGTGGCGGAGTAAAGCGGGCGTAATTTCGGTTTCCTGCCCGTCCATCTCACCCGTGTCACCCCGCCGGTCGGTTGCCCGCGGATCGCGCGGTCACGGATGGCCCCCGGTTCCTCTGAAAAGCGGCCGGCGTTCAGACGCCAGCAGAGAAGAGGATCGTGTTGATTTATCGTATCGTCTGTCAGAAACGCCCGGGGCGGAATCCATCCACCACGACACGTCCGTGATCACGGGAAGATCTTCCGCGGGCACAGGTGCGCGGCCACTCGCGTAGACTTTAATGGACGTCGGAAGTCCGCGCCGCTATCGGCCGGATCGGAGTGTGTTCCATGGCGGCGCGCCCGCGCGGGTAACGTTCCACCCGCGGAATTTATCTCCTCCGCGATTTGTAATTTAAATACGCGCACGGTAAACCCTGGCTGCCGAAGATCCCCGGAAAACGAATCGTTCGAGCAGCCGGAGAGTGGTTTACGGTCGAGTCGATCGCGGGTCTTTCTTGCGGCAGCCGGGTCTCTCGATGGAATTCGAAGCTGGGCGGAGTGTGGAATTGGGGGCTTGAATTTAGACCGTCGGAATGGGGATCCACTTTTGGGTGGAGTTGGTAAACTAGGTGTGATCCGTGCGATGCATGTTGGTTTCGTGTACTTTGGGATATTATTATTTTGCGATGGCGGTTTTAGGGTATGTTTTGTTACCGAATAAAGCGTATTGTATACATTCGATATTTTGTGGCAACTGTTCTCTATGAGAACTTCTGATATTTATTATATTTGTTATGTTTCGTTTGTTTCAGCATAAATCGGTCACGACACCACGAGGCGAGAGGTTAGTGAAATTATTGGAAGTGTTCCGTTCTTTACGATCGATTTCATTTTATTAACAATACGATGCAACGCTGACGGAGAATGTTAACAGGCTCGATCGTTCGGGGGGGTTCGATGGAACGGTTACGAATCGCGCAATAAAATTATTCTAAAGCAGATAAGAATTTTTCGAACGGTTTACGGGCACTTGTGTCCGAATTCAAATTGGTCGGCTTTACCTGGCTACGGTGCCGTGCAATTGATTCGATGTCCTCGGCACGAGCGAACATCGAAACGCTCGCCACAATTGACCATTTCCGGAATCTGGTCGTAGCGTTTCGTCCAAGAAAATTATGCTGGACAGGAAGTCACGGGCGCAGTCTGGAACCAAACGACCGCCGCGAACGGTTATGGCTGACATCGAAATACCGTTGCGAATATCGCTCGGCTACTTAGTTCTTCGATTCCCCGTGTCCCCCTTTTTCTTCCCTTTTTCACTTTGAACGACGGTATTACGTATACGACGATACGCGTACCAATTACAATATATCCTACTCCCGTTTGTATCCTCGGGATCAAGGAACAAAAGCCTTGTTAACGGATTTATCGAGAAATTGAAAATCTTGTTCAACACCTTTCTATTACGCCTTCGCAGGCACGAGTCGATTACGAATTCCTTATCGCATGTTTCATGATAGGAATATGTAAATCAACCGAGCCGCGCATTATACAAACGTTACAAATAGGTTCCTTTAATTAAATAACGACGTCGATTTAATTTCAATTCATAGGACAATGATAAGTCACGATTCAATTTGTCTCGCCTTCGACATTTCGGAATGAGGTTCAACAAGACAAAATGCAACGTCTATTTTCGTTCTATCTCAGGAACTTACTGGCAAAATGTTTTAGATAATTCCGGATGAAGGGGCAATGAATGTTTCAGGGTTCGGTGGTTCCAAGTGTATTCATAGATGTTCAGATTTATCGAGGTTACCTAGCCGGTGCTGTTTACGACCGACGATTCCCGTTTCACCGCGGTTAATTCATTTAGCCGTCGGACGGCGCACTGAGCGCGAATCGAGTTAATATCGAGTGTATTGCCGTTCCCGGTTCCCGGTTATCCCTCTCTTCGTTATCGGGCCACTGAAAAAAGAGTACTCTGTTACCATGGTAGTCAAATCGATTACTGATTGGCAGGTAATGCGCGTGTAATGCGTCGACTGGCGCGGTGCTGCGCGGCGGCAGCCGCGCCACCACCCTCTGTGTTCAACGTGTGCACTTGTTGAACGGAACCGGTCAAAGGATGCGTCCGATGCAATCGTCTGCACCGTTGGCATCCGAATTGAATCCACGTAATTGCGATGAAAACAGGAGGGGATACTTAATTTGGTAATTTTAGAATTACATACGGACCGGAGCTCTACCGGCATGAAATCGACGGTGAAATTCGATGGAGGGTGAATCGAAAGATACGCCCCGCAGTCGCGGTTACTTTCACTTTCCGCTTCCACTTTTTCTTCGCGAACGAACGTGAAGACGTGCTTGCGGGATCATTGGATTGTCCGTCTAAACGGTATTTATTAAATACAAGGAACACGATACTCTAATATTTTGCACTTTTGTTAATCATTTGTACTCGGCTTTCAATATTCAAAAAAAGGTTTCGGAACAATGTGAACATACAAATATCTCACCGGTTTGTTTAAGTGAAACAATCGAAGGAAATAATATTTCGCAAACGTACGGATTTACAGTTCGCACGTAACAGATTCGCGCATTCATGGATACCGTGCGCAGTTCAGAAAAGGCAACGACAATGCCTGCGAACGTCAAGTATCGTTGATTACGACATTTCATTTTCCTTTTTCATAGCGGGTATTGCACAATCGGTCCTAAATAACAGGGACGGCGTTAATTAGAAATAGCCTCGATCGATTTAGAAGTAAGTAGAATCTCGTTGGCGTTTCGTTAGACACCGCGGACCTCTGACCGTATCGGTGCCGTAATTGGCCGATTGGCAGACGATCTACGTGGCGGCGGGGTTGCGCAATGGCAGCCGGCGGAATATCAGCATGTAGCACGCTCCGAGATGAAGGCGAATATTTTTCCTAATCGAGCGCGCGAAACATACGGCTGGCGATTTCTATCTTGCGCGGAGCTGTACGAATACGGTGTACAGCTCGCGATGCGAAAATCGTACTTTCTCCGGTTGCCTAGCAGCACGAACGGTTCAACGGTGTACCGCTTCGGAGGTGTGAGATTTGCATCGGTGATTACGGATGATCGACCTCTTCCGGGAAAAGTTCGCGGCGCGCGGCCGCTGCGTGTTTTCGTAACGTTTAGCCCTCCCCCGGACTCTATCGCGGCGATTCGTGAAAGTTTCCGAGTAATAACAAATATTTGCGTATCCCGTTACGTACGCGCGTATTGTTGCGGACCCGATCGTGTCCCGCCATTTATAATTCCCGCGGGTTTCTCGAGGATCGCGGTCGAGGTTCGCGTTCCGTTCGAGTTTTGCTCGTTCGGCGGGAGATTAATATTAATCAGAGGCGAGAGGTTTGTCTTACGGTTTCAGAGATTCCAGCCGGCGATACCGGATTGATCGATTAACACTGGAAAAGAGAGACTCGGGAGTCGGAGTGTCGGCTTTGGAACAAACCTTTGTTTGAATTATTCAGTCGAACTTATACTATTTCGGACTATCATGATCCTGTCAATATGAATCATGTTGTAACCGTATTTTCGGCGGAACGGAATGATTAAAGAATGCCCGGGCATCGGAGGGAATTATTTTCGTCTTTGTGTTCTATCATCTGTCCGACACTCGGGCGGATGTGAATTAATATGATAAATGGAAGTTTGACTTAAGTCACGTTTACGAAAAATTGACATACGTATATTTCGGAGTTTTTATCGGGAATACAAATATTCTGACGTTGTGGAAATGTCGCGCTAAAATTGTTTTTTCTTAAACAGTGTCACGTCTAAGTTGGGAATTCGGTATTGATTCATGGGACAATTCATTTGTGTCACGGCTGTAGACTCAACCGAAGGGAAATTTCGAAATGTGTCACCGTTCTGCGCGTTTCGGCAATCCTTCGGATAACAATTATCTCGCAATATCTGTATGGGCATCGTGAACCGTCCCTTGTACGAACGTCAATGCACAGTCATTTCATTCGTCATTATCGGGACAAGCTCGATGGAATACGAACGAACGCACACGCGCTACCCTCGATACGGTCGGGGTGCTATTTCGCGATCCATCAAGCATAACGATTTTTCGAGTCCATCCGCGGCCGAATGCGTTGTAAATTAACGTTTCCATTGTTTCCATTGTTGGCGGCGTTATAGCGGCTGTCGGCGCGTGTAAAGTTTATATCGCGGCGTAGAGGCGAGGCGCGGGCATCAAATTGACACGCTGTTTTCCAATTGGAGTCGCTGCAATGATACAGAAACAACGAGGCCGTGTTTTTCATTCACCCGCGAATCGCCGACAGCTCTAAACACGCGGTTCATAATTGCGATTAATATTATTCAAAGAGAAAGAGAGAGAGAGAGAGAGAGAGAGAGAGAGAGAGAGAGAGAGAGAGAGAGAGAGAGAGAGAGAGAAAGAGAGAGAGAGAGGGAAGAAGAGAGATCGAGCCGGTTTTTCCGCGTTCCATGTTAATTGCTTGTACGGCGACTCGAATATAAATTATGATATAGAAGGTCTAACCGAGAGAGCAAAGTCCGATGATTTGATAACATCGTCTGAAGAATTCAGTATCTTCATTAAAATCGATCCATTTATTCCAACGGGAATAAATTTGTTTCTTCCTCATGCAATATTGACTTTTTTCACCGACAATTAAATTTTATGTGGTTTTACGGGTCGAATTAAAGTCGCGAGGATTCAATATCTACATTTCATTATCGTCAAGCTTCGAGCGCTTTCATAAAATAACGACAAGAATCCGGATTTTTGGAAAGGACTCGATTACCCGATTGCATTAACGATTATGAAACGTAGTTTAATCATGTGCGAATTATAATTAAACGTCCGACCTATCTGAACGTATGGTGATTAATTGCGAACGTGAAAGGTTGATTATAGACAAGGAATAAAAATGGTCGCCGCGGCATCCTTGGAACATCGTAAAAAACTACGATCCATCGAAACGAACACAATTTTCATCCTGCTATGCCGGTCAAGAAATACATTCTCAAATTACAAAACCTCTTTTTCGAAACTTTTGTTTCAAGCTTCCTCCGAGTCTTCAATTGTGCTTCGTATTTGCAAAAGGACCGAAGAATGGCGTCATTCAGCAGAAGTTGAACGCCCCCCATTGTTCGATCACGATGAATTGCCACCGGGCGAGCTCTGTCAGCGGTGTACGCAAAAATACGTAACCGAGACTGTCACAGTTGCTGTCGGGACCGAATTAAATCGCGTATTATCGGGATCAATGCGACGGGAACGAGCACGGCCGCGGAGAACACGGTTCGAGTCGCGTTTCGCGACAAGTTAAAGAGCAAGGGAATGCTGCTGTAAATAGAACCAGCACGTTCGGCCGGGCCACCGGTTCGCCCATTTTTTCTTTTTTTTTTATTATTTATAAGCCGTTTTGAATGGCACGGCACGTTGCACGACTATAAACGTCCACGGCAGCAATTTTTAGTGGCGTTGCGCCCGTCCAACGCGACCCTGTGTTTCGTTACGTTAACGCCATGCTGTTACGCCGCTTTGTTTTCCGAAATGAAGAAATTTCCCGCGAGAGCCGGTTCGAAACGGCTGAATACCGCCGGCACAGTATTTCTCCGCGCCCAATTCCGCTCTAGGCGTTTTAATGCCCGCGCGAGAAATTTTTACCTTCCGCCAACTTCGGTTGGCCACTCGGACAATTAATCTCGCTGAAAGTACAGGGTTTCTTTCGCGAACGTGCAGCCGAGTCATTGTAACGAAACATCGATATATTCCGTTTGATTAAATGCTGTGTTGTTTAAGTGATTACTTGAACTTTTATACATTCGTATTTA